AGCCTTACTTTTGTTTGTGTTCAGATTTCAAACAAATCATGTCTGAGTTCATTTAGAAGTGGACTGGGAGCACTTTGGGGGGCTTATTTGGTGAATAATTTTAATCCAACAGGGTGAATTTTAATCCAATCAAACCAACCAAATGTGAATTGAGAATGTTACCATTCAAACTTTGGTGCACATCAAATAAGTGAAATAAGACCCCCTGAGGAGGTCTCAGTAGGCTTGGAAACAAACTCTGGCATGTTTGTTTGAAATATCAGTAATTACGCTCATAGCTATTATAAAATGCCCCCAACACACATGACAGCACAGATCAATTACAGCATGTATTAATATGCCAGGTTTTCACTATAAAAACAGTAAGCTATTCGAGGTTTTTATTACCCTACTTTACACTTTCTTATGCTATGGAAAATCATGGTAACGCACAGCCTCTTGAGGCTTATTGTAACAGAATATGACAAAGATAGAAAAAACAAAGCCATAGATACTACAAAACATGGATTGTTGAGTTCAGTTAGGCCATAGTACTGCATGCCTCAAAAAGTGTGATCTGTATGTTTATGTGCTGCATATCACACCTTTTCCAAAAAGTTGGGATGCTGTGCAAAAATGTGAATAAAAACAGAAGGCAAAGATGCAAATCATTTAAACCCTATATTAGATTGAAAATAGTACAAAGACAGCATATCAAATGATAAAACTGAGAAATTTAGTTTTTTGATAAAAACATGCCCATTTTGAATTTGATGCCAGCAACACGTTTTAAAAAAGTTGGCACAATGCACTAGAAAAGTTGTGTAATGCTACAAAAAAAAACTTGGTCGAACATCTCACAGCCAATATGGTTAACTGGCAACAGGCCAGTAACATGACTGGGTGTAAAAAGAGCATCCTAGAGAGGCGACTCATCATTCTGGATGATTTTCTTTTGTTGTTTTTTATATCTTGCCAGGTGCTACTAATTATTTAAAATCTATTTTGTTGTACAGGACAAGTATTTTACAATAATTTTACATATTTTTTCTGCAAGCAGATTGGTTTTATATCATTTTATATGAATGCATATACAGTTTCAAACGGTAGTGAATGCACACACACACATTCTCCTTTTGAGTGAGGGGCCTGTTTTAGGTGTTTGTCTTCCACAGAAATGCAGTTCCCACTAGCAGTTCGCAGGCTCCTGATGATGGGATGAAACCTTAAACACATCCATCAATCTTTTTTTCCTCTCTCTTTCCTTCCCTCACAGGACTAAATGGCATCAGTTGATGATGCGCTGGCAACAGTTGTCAAGCCAGGGGTCCTAAATCAGTCAGCATGAGAATCAAAATAAAGGTGCCAAAAAGGGTTGTTTTTGGAGTCATCCCATAGAAGAACCACTTTTGGTTCTCCAAAGATCCTTTCAATGGATGCTTCTTTAAAGAACCATATTTGTAAATGAGATGTACGGATGTGTAAACAACCTATAAAATTTTAAGAACCTCCACATAATGCAGTGTCTATGCCATTTTAAGCTATAGAGAGTACTCTGAGATAGAGATAAATGAATTCCATTGAACTGCTGCATTGAAAGTCTCCCGATGAGGAAAGAAATTAAAAACTGTCTAAGAGTGTTCTAGAACAACTAATTCACAAAGTCTAGTAGTTTTTCTGCATTCCTGTGCATTCAGGCCTTGTTGTAAAGGACAAAAGGCGAGCAACAAGAAAAACAAGCAGCTCGGAAGGAAACAACCAAGCACACTCCTGCAAAGAGCTCTCCTCAAGCTGATTAGCATATTAATGATGCCAGACTCACACACTTTCCTGAAACATGCTAATAAGAGGCGCGCACAAGCATCCGAGCGTAGCGGCTAGCCACACAATACCGGCTTATTGTGCTCTAACATCGCTTTTATTTATCTACAGCTTCCGTTTTTCAGAGAGAGAGAAGGCTGTGTTGCTTCATGAAGGGCCTGCTTTATATCAGGGGAACATGGCGGGCTAACAGGCTAATTGGATAGTGGATTTCGGTGTCTGCTTAAGAGGTGAGTCAATGAGGCAGACGCTGCTCGTGAGCACAGGAAGACAATCAGAATGTGCCAGAGATCCACCTCCTTGCGCAGTTTGGCCTGACAAACCAAATGCATAATTTCCACAGACACTTATTACTCACATAGAAAATTTGAGACACTGAACTGAACTGTAATTTTAATTTTTGTTTCTTAACCCTTAGAAAGTTGAAAGTTATAGTTGTTTTTCTCTACTATTTAAACTTAATTATGTACGTAGATTTTTTTGTAAATATATTCAGTTTACTTTTGGTACTGACAGGACACATTTTACTGTTTGTTCTGATGTGAAGATAAATTGTATGCAAAAGTTTTAACACCCCCAGTCAAATTACATGATTTGTTGTTGAAATTAACACATCCTCTACAGGGAACAAAATTAAATATGCTATTTTTCAGTACGGATTAGCGCACAATTTCTATTTATTTGCTGAGTTTGGGGATGTATAATGTGCCATAACATAATAATGTGTCAGATTCAGCATATAAACAGTAAGTGTGCATTAAAATTGCAGAAGTTCCCTGTAGAGGATGTGTTAACTTATTTTGACTTAGAAAAGCAACAAAACGTAGTTTAAGAAGGGGTGCCCAAACTTTTGCACAAGGCAGAACTGTCAAGGACGTTTTTTTCATTTGACAAAACAAGACTGTGCACATGACAACAACTTTCCATCAAATTCAAGTCATAATAAAATATCATGGATTGTCACAAAGTGGAGGCATTGAGGAAGGATGTAGGTGTGAGTTTACAACTTTATTGAAAATACCAAACAAAACATTTTGCAGGAACTCAAACAAAAGAAGAACAAGGACAATGACTCAACAAACTGAAGCAATGTATAAGATCACGAGTCAGATTCCAGTCCTCATGGGCAGAGCACTGCAGACTTCAGCGGTCATTAAACACACCTGATTCAACTCTAATTAGCAAGCTAATTAGCAGGGACTGCATGAGTTGAATTCAGAGTGGTAGAAGAAGAAAAACACTAATCTCTGCAGAGCTGTGGCCCAGAAGGAACTCAGTTTTACACACAACAGTGATAGACTAGTCTTGTGGTGCCTGATGTGATCTCGTAATGAGAATACACATCTGGGGACAACTTGTTGAACTTTTGGTGCTGGATTATGGAGAAATCTGCTGCAAACAAGGGCACATCCCCTCTAAAATCTGCCCCCCAATTCCTCATGGCTGTACTCTTTTAACCTTCAGAGTATGATTTATAACACAAGCAAAAAAGCAAATTGGAGAAATGCCACTGTTTACCAACAGATCTGTTTTCTCCTGTAAGAGTTAATGATTATGTAATGTGTTCATCTCACATGACACACATCTGCATGCTTCATTTGAGGTTTTTGAGGGGACTGTTCTACCATGCTAATTTGCTCACATGCTACATCTGTGGGCAAGCGACAGGTTGATTTATGAAGGCACCATCACCCCCTGCTATGAGCTCAGCCTTCACGAGCCATTGGACTTGTTCAGAAATTTCACACTCAGTTTGTTCCTGTCCTAATAAGTCTACATTCCCACCCACATTAAGCATGAAAACCTGCATGGTTATCCTCAGACATTCTCCTTATGGGATCACTTCGGGCCTTTCAAGACTAGTGCTAGACATACAAGACATGTAGATGCACAAGACTAGACCAAACCAAAAGGAAATGAGGGAGCTTACATAAAAGACAGGAAACGTCTTGAAAAGGAAAGGAAATAGACAAAACACAGGTGTAAAGACTAATGCATAGGCAGGACAAGGGAAGATACATGAGCAAACAGAACAAAGCCAAACAAGAAAGACAAATGTGGAATCAGTTGAAAGTTTAGAATCTGCACCTACAGTGCTTCTTCAATGAGCTATGAGGGAAAAATAATGAATATAAAATTACAATTTGATTTTGTTACTGTTGTTGATAACTGCAACTTCTAAGGGTTAAGATTCATCATGAACATAGAAAAGCAACATTAAAATCAATGCTTTATTGATCGAACGCTGTGTGTGCTTTCGTGTAGACAGAAACTAAATTACTAAAGTACAGTTGTTCAGACATATGTCAAGCACTACTTTAATTACAGTAGTGGTAGTTGCTGTGAGAGTAAAAAGAATCACTGTAGTCCAAAGCAGAAAAAATGCAACAACATACTCCTCTTTGGATATTCAATATCCCTGCAGGCTACTGACCATTTACTTTTATTATTTTCAATTTGTACTGGCTTATATTGTATTTAGGCTAAAGTAAGAGTCATACCTTTTTCGCCCCAGAAAGTAGTTACTATCAACAAGTGTGCCAGTGTATATAGCAATCTGTAATAAAAAGGTCATATTCAAAAGGGGCCATTAAAAATCTATTTGTGGGAATTCCAATGAGAATTGTGAATGAGAAACATTCCCTCCTGGAAGGATTTCCCAGATGCTCTGCGATTATTTCTGTTCTTCATGAAGTCTATGTGGAAAGGCCCAAATAAGACAACTAATATCTAAAAGAAACGCTGACTATGAGGACATATCGACACATCATGTCTGGTTCTGATTATATTGGCTCATTCAGCCTCTTGCTCACTCAGGTGCCATCACTTGAAAGACAACTGCTCTCTGCACAGTGCACAGGCAAATCACTAACAAATTGTGTAGTGATGCTCTAAAACCCTTAAACTTCTTAGACACACACATGCCAAGGCTGATTATTCACTTACTACATGCAAATAATGCAAAATTATCAAGTTATTAAGGTATGGAAGTAAGGGATAGAGTCTGTGAGTGTTAACCTCCTACATGGCCAGGGCCAAAAGTTTTATTACATTGCATTGAAGTCCCCAAAGCTGAATAATAGGCCTGGGAATTTAAGAGGTTAAAGTTGCCAAAAAGTGACTTACCACACTAACTGCACTACACTACAGGTGGAACCTGCACTCCTTCACAGAGATAACTGTGACAACATTGCTCTTACCTTCTGTGCCTAGCGTATTTGCCTCTCACATGCCCACTCCCGTCACACCCTGGTGTGGGACAGCTGTAGACAAGAGGAGGAACACGTACTTGTTTTTATACAGGGTCTGGATGTGAGGTCATGTACAGTACACATTATGTCCCATATGTATCAAATCAAAAGTCAGAGACCACCTTTCACTCATTTCATTTCCAATTAAAATGGCAGTGCAAGTCATTTTGAGGAGATATTTCTAAGGATATTAGATATAAGATAATCCACTTGCAGGTGTTTCTGTGAGAAGAAAACTCAGCACTATGAGAAACGCTTAAAAAATAAGAAAATTTGCAAACAAAGCAAATAAACTGCTGATGTTTTTGATGGATTTGTTTTGGAATTACTTGAATTTTGAGAAGCAGAAAATGTAACCAACTTCTAAGAACGAACTTTGGAGGTGTGGAAAAGTATCCCTGCAGATTTCTCTCTCCCAGAAAGAAGGGAAGCTGTAATAAAGGCAAAGGGTAAGCACAACAAACAGTGAAAAATCTGATATTACATTTATTTGTTGAGGCTTCTGTGTAATTTTCTGTTTAATATATATTTCTGCATTTTTTTAATGCTGAAAAATGAATAACATAATGGTCTCTAGTGGTCTCTGACTTTTGCGCAGTACGTTATATCATCACCGTTGGGAAAAAAGGTCTTGCAATTTCATTTTTGTTGTATTATTATTATTATTATCATTATTATTATTATTATTGTTATTATTATTGTTGTTGTTGCTGTTGTTGAAATTATTATTATTTATACAATTTGACAACACAGACTGCTCTTTACATTGCGTAAGAGTTTGAAGAAAAATGGACCAAATGAAATGGCAAAAAATGACTTCTAAACATATTAATACAATTAGTTAAATTAACATACGTTATAAGTTAGAATGCTATATGATTCTTCCATCTCCTGTAAAGTTACCATTTTGGAGATGCAAGGTTTTGTTTCAAAAGCAACCTAAGCCTAACGCTAATCTTAACCTTAAAACATAACGCTTAAAAAAATGGTTTTGCCCTTTCAGTTATTAAAAAATGAAACATGTAGCTTCTGGAAGAAGCACTTTACAAAGACAGGACCATTGATATTGTAGGTTAGGCATGTTTTCAAGGCTTTTTGAAAATGTACAAAAACAAACAAACCCACAGACAGCACTAGAGCTACGGCACATCAGTCTTCACTGGAGATTTACAGATCTCCAGTGTCCTCCAGGTTGGTGACTCACTAGGCTGCATATTTCATACTGCACTTCATACCTCACTCTCTGCTGTTCCATTTAGACCCTTAGCCAGCTAAAAGCTGTGAGGAAACACTACCAGATTTGAATCTCTGACCTGCTAGAAGACGTGGTCAGATACGCTAGCCTAATCTCCTTTATTCTGCTACCACAGACTGTCTCGAGCACACTACCATGTATCACCTTCAGAGCCTTCAGCAAATGCTCTACTTTCTATTTATAGCCAAACTAATGTGTCTCTTCCTCTGATTGGCAACGCACCAATCTGTTCAAGATCAAGTTCTTGGTCTTGAGTGAACGCCTCAACTGCCTTTTGAGCACGAGGCCTGGTGAGAATCTGGCCATCACTAAAAATGTGTTCAGGCCAGCATTTTATTTGATTTCTTCAAGGTGATGCTGGCTGTGGATCTATGTCTGATCACAGCTGGTGACACATCCATTATTAGTATTATGGATGCCTTCAGCTATAGAGCAGGAACATTCTGCTGAGGCAGCAGCTCACAGCGATGGGGCATTGGACAGGCAAGAGGAGTGAGAGAACGTGGTTTATTTATTTGCATTGTCGCATACCGTGGCAATAAAAGAAGGCATGGCAGGGAGAATGGCCATTGGCTGCACTCCCATAAACCACACTGTCCTTGCTGTTGTCATTTTAATTGAACACATCTGAGAGTAACAAGATGATATAAAAATAAACTTTTAGCATTTCTTTGGCGGGTGAGGAGTGTTAAACAATTCTTAATGATGGAGATGCTACCATTAACCAGGCCCGTAAAGTGTGCCAAAAGCGGCACTCGAGCGTCTGAAGTGAAGGGAGCAGCGCCTGATAAAAATCTCTCTCCACCCTCGAGGAAAATCCAGTCCATTCAGCCTCATTATGATGCGTGATTTCATTAGGAGCGCAGGGATACTTACCAATACTAATTGGGAGAATCATATGTTCTCACTCAAGGCAATTAAAGTAGAAGTTTTATTTATAGGCTGCACCCATGGCGCACGCCATTCTGAGTGAATCACATCGAATGATATCGGTTAGCAAAAATTACGCATTGCCACCTCTGCTGTAAGCACAGCCTGTGTCACAAACGCCTCCTTTTTGAAACTCCTTCATCAGAGCCGGAAAATAAAAGGCCCTCTTGGATGTGGAGCAAATTTGCTCCAGTATATGTGTGTTTTTGCCCTTGAGAATCATTCAATCACTGCTACTTCATAGTGGGTCACTGAATGTGACGTGTAGAGAATCTTGTTTACATGCTCCTTTCATCGCATCCCAACTAACCTGAACAGCTCCTGGGCCCCAGTCTCCACGGCAACTAAGAGGAGAGAAGTAAAGACAATTAGACGGAGCGAACATCAATATCAGCTGTATCATAGTAATATTATGTGGTCCAATCGTATCAATATCAGCATCAATGTTTGAATTAGTCTGCAGGTGAAATCAATAGTACAGGTACAGCCCAGCTGTGAAGCAGTGGTTTATTTTTTAACGAAAGGCCAAATATGAATAATAAAGTGGTCAAGCTTGCTGGGTTAAAATGAATTTTGGTGTGTTAAGAGTTCAGCCACAGCACTGTGAGGTGCAAAGTACCTCGCACACCTTTGGATCGCGTACGATGGCGCTTATCAGCTGCATCCACCTCCATCTGCAGAACAGGGCCATCCATCAAAATGCAGCACTCTAGACTGGCTCATATTCCCTTGCTTTCACTAGTTCTTTGCTTTCATAGGGAAAGCCTTTTGTTTTCTGTGTAGATAACCTCTCAGCTCTAATGCTGATTCAGTTTCATGAACCGATTCTTTCTAACTGCCCGTTTCAATTAATTTAACTGATTTAACTGGTTCAACTGATTCAAAAAGGTTGTTCTTAATATGTTACAGTGTAGTTCTTGATTTTATCACTGTCGATACAGTGATTGATGTACACAAATTGTTCTCACCAATGGATACACAAAGCACAGAGACAGCAAAAGGTAGCCTATCATAGTTTACATAGAAAAAATGTAAGGAAACTACAAGATACGGTCATATGCAATGGTTTGGGCACCCCTGAATTAATTCATTTCTGAGCAAAAATAAGTACACATACTCTGCAGAGATCACATTTCAATACATAATTACTGTTTATTTGCTGAATTTAACAAACTAAAAAACATAACATGTCGCCTGTGCAAAAGCTATGGCACATTTAATATGTCATATTTTATTTTTTTCCAGTTTGTCAAACTCATCAAATAATTAGACGTTATAAACAAAGAATAGAAATAAAATGCAGAAATTCATTTAAGTGGGGGCATTCAAACTTTTGCATACAGCACCAGAAATTCTTATAATTAAGGAACAGGCATTAAAAAAAATAAATAATGAACAATAAAAACAATAAAACAAACAATAGAAAATTTAAATGATACACATTATGCATCACAAAAAAACAAGTTCTGATACGTTGGGACAGACCAAAAAAACACTAGTGCTACATTAAAACAAACAAACAAACAAACAAACAAATAAAACTATATGATATACCATACAATTATTTTTATTCAGTGTTTCACTGCATCTAATTAAACAGGCCTAATTATTGTGCAATGTGATGTCACATAATTGAACATGACAACAATAAATATGATCATACTGCTCATGCCTATCACAATGATTGAGAACACAACCAAAGTACTGTAACAACAAAAATATCCAAAAAAAGATTCAAGTTTTTATTGTGAAAGGTAAACTTGTTTGATTCTGTTGACTGAATTATTAGAAAGAACCAGTTTAAAAGTGTGATGTGTTCACAAGTAAGTCATTGCTAATGTAAAGCTTTAAACCTAAATAATATGGGGTGGCAGTAGAGCAGGGGATGTACCTGAGATCAGGCGAGTGAGGGTGGAGTGGTGTGTGTGAAGCTCTCCTCCTGCGTGATGGGGTTTCAGCAGAGTGTTCCTGGTGCAGAGCTCAGAGCTCCTCCTCAAAAGTCATTTTCTGAGTTGAAAAAAAAAAGTTGTCAGGTGACTCACTGTGCAGCACTTTACAGCACATAGCTTACTGCTTTCAGCTTACTGTTACTGTGATAAGCTAATACACACATACATAAACACACAGTATTGTTTTTATACAATCTCAAGTAGCATAGACACTGTGTATATATATATATTTAAGTGAGGGCTGATGAAGTCCAGGAGAAAACTAGAACAAAGTAGTTCAGATCAAGAATCAAACTAGTTCAGATCAACTAAAAAAATTAAATAAAGAAATTAAAATAAGAAATTCTTGATGCTTTTACTGCATTTATGTTTGTTTGCATCTATTCTAATACATTGTGTTTTTACAAGCAAAAACACACTTATTGCCCAATAAATGGCTTAATTAATGTGAGTATGCCAAAAACTTCTGTACAGTAGATAAAAAAATAATGATAATAAAAAATATATATATATAGTACAAAACTGTCATAAGGTGGTGGTGGTGGTGCCCTGAAAACTGTTCATCATTAACAAAAAAAGAAAAAGCCTATTTCTATTAAAAGGGCATCTCTTTGTGGACATCACATATCCTACACACATGTGCAGACAAACACAACCTCTGTCCACTGACACATCACTCACTGTGGACTGTCAGAACACTGTATGAAGCCCCCATCCTCTCCTCACTTGCACAAATCAGTGCATATGAGCAGCAGCTGTCCCCCAGCCACTGCTGCTCAGCCCAGCCTGGCCGACAGTGAAGGAAACACTCTTCAGTATTCCAGCCAACCACCCCCATCTGTCTGATATAATATGATACAGTGCTCCCCTCACAAAGTGGGGCATGCAGCTTCAGAGCCACAGAACAGCACTGTGTACGCTTTCTGATCTACTCTCTCTCTGCCTCCTGCTTTTGGTCTTTCTTCCTCTGCTGTTGCTTTCTTTCTGTCTCTCTCCCACTCCGTTTCATTTTCTGTGCCCCATCTTTCTTTCCTTCTTTCATTCTATTCCTCTCCCCTTCTCTCTTTTTGTCTGTCTCCTGTATCTCATCTCTCTCTGCTTCTCTCTCATTGCCTGTCTTTTTTTCCCTCCTTACCCCTTTTTCTTTCTCTGCTTTATCTCTACCTCTCTCTTCTTCTCTCATTGTCTCTCTCTTTCTCACATCATTGTATCTCTCCTGATCTGTCTCCCTTTCTTTCTGTTTCTCTCTTCCTCTCTTTCGCTCTTTCTCTCAAGCTCCTTCCCTCTCTCTTTCCTGTACTTTATCTTTCTTTCTGTCTCTTTTGCATCTCTCTCCTTTCTCTCCCTCTATGTCTCTCTTTTGTTCTTTGTCTTGCTTTCTGTGTCCCTCGTGCCTCTCTCTCTCTCTCTCTCTCTCTCTTTCTCTATCTGAACTCCGTCTTCATGTGTCAGCTCAGTTATTCTGTCTGTGTTCTCCACATCATGGAAGTCACAGCGACATGGATACAAACACTACATATACTTTTTAGGTATATAACTACTGATTTCCATGTCAATGCTGTGCTGAGAATGGTTCACCACCAGTGGTGTAATTTTGGACAGGCTGTATAGACCTACTCAGTAAAACGGGCAATTTTTTAAAATCACATTTCAATTTGGAAATAACAGTTCTTATTCAGTTACTACCATAAGTAGTAACTGCCCCTTTACAGAATAACCTATATTGTTATATGTTAGCATCAAGCTAGTGGAGGGTGTATATATTTCCATTTTATGACATTTATTTCAAGCTCTGAAACACAGACATTCCAAACTTGTAACTGGCATTTAGGTAAAATACTGTTTAACTTGTATATCGCTGCTGTCAGAAATGAATGCACTTTACTTTTAATGTAAGTCAATGAAACCAGACTTTTTCCGTTTGTTTTGGTCCATCCTTCATGAAAATTACATACAATGTAAAGGCCAGCAGGCATTTTCAAGTGATATCAAAAACTGAAAATTGACAAAAATGGAGATACAAGATTTTGTTCCGACAGCAGCGATATTGTAGTTTTACAGTTACTTCTCAAAAAAAGCAAGTCTCTGGATATTACTGATAAAGCCTGCCTGTTAGCTATCGACCCAGCTATTCATGCTACTATGCATTTAAAAAAATACCCATGTGTGGCCTCGACATAATTAAGTTATAGAATACAAGAGGGAATTACATCATGACGGATTTGGATGCAGTGCAACAGATTATTACTTGAAGTTAACAGAGAAATTATTACAATTTATCAAGAATGTATTTAATTTATTTTTAGATAAATGTTTTTTTTGCTACCTGTAGGGGTCCCCCTCTTTGTGAATGTCCACATATGGGTTGTAAAATCCACTCCCCTATTCTACTGTCCACCACCCAAATAATACCTAGTCAGTGATGGTCCTATGGTGGTCTTGTTCCATTGATGGGTGGGGTAGGGGAGGGCTGATAAACTGTGTAGCAACAGATAGTCTACAATCAGTAATCATAATCCTACAAAGTGCACCTGTATGGCAGGTTTATCTGGAAAATGGCCAATGAATGTAGGTAAAAGGAAGCTGTATTAGCAGCTTAGTCTATAGCGTATCTTTATACAACAGAAGATTATAGACCTCGACCCATTTGCAGCAAAATGGACTGGGAATGGTAAAGTTGGGTTGCAGTGAGCTCAGAGCATGTCTATCTCTCCACTGCGGGTCTCCACAGCAGACGTCGCAGCTAATTCATCTCCCAAATGCTCCAGCTGCAGGACACCACCATGCGCTCTCTGCCTCTCATTGAACACACAAGACTGAGAATCTGTTTGTGTGTGTGTCTCAAAGGCTCACTACAACTGGGCCGAGCGAGTCAGAAGCACAAAACCCCGGAGCTCCCAAGCCAATTTCACTCTCCTCCACACCACTGCCGACAGCAGCTCTCAGTCTTAACAGCACAAAACCTTGTTTTAAGTCGATACAAAACTGGTTTGTTCGATACATCTCCACTGGTGTGAGTGTCCCTCAGACCAGATGGCATTTATATGGTGTGACCGGTCAGATTTGCTTGGCTGGTTTTCCATGTCCTCACTTCAGAAGGCATCACATCTAGCAAAGCCCTTAAACTACCATGCGTCATGAGATATCATTCATTTCAGTGCTCTCACATCAGAAGGATGAAAACAAGCTCCTCATGAAGTGGTCAAGCTTCAGCTCAGCACTCGAGGGGACAATCAAATAAAACAAGAGCGTGCTTTCCAATTGGCCAAGACTAGAGTCTCAGTTAGAGGCTTGATGAGAACTTCGGACTTCGTCTCTACCTGCGTCAGACGCCCTGACTCACTCGAAGTGACTACAGAATGTATGCGTGTGTGTTTGTTTGCCCGCAGTAATTCAAAGATGCTTGCACAGTCACCAGTGAGAATTCTCATCAGACTTTGCCGCTGTGAGTTGAGGCTAATGGTGTTTTCTCGCTTTCATTTGCTCTCAGAGCACAAACACACTAGAACACTATATGATTAGCCACATGACTGGTCACGTAACCACAGGTTATAATAAGAACACAGGCTCCAGTGCCTTTAGTATGAGCCGCTTGGAGAGACCAAGGCTGGGAAGAGGCTGGGAAGAAAAACAGCCCTACCAGACATTCGGCTCTAATACAGGTCTGTTGATATGGTAGCATTTTGGCAATAACAGTATCAGTCCATAACCAAATTTCAAGATGTTTGGTTCCACAAGGTAGCACTACTTTACTACTGATATTCTGTTCGGTTCAATAGCAAATACTGATACTAGCAATTGCCAACTTGTATCCAGATACCAATCCAGTTACCGATTAAGTCGTCTTGTGTACATAAAATAGGGGAATTTTCATGATTTCTAATTTGAAAATTGGGTTTTGCATAGACAAGTCATCTAATCAACCCAGTAGTTGACACTGTGGACAGGAAAGGGCCATTTGACTGACATTCAAAGCGACCAATCATACAAAACAAACTTGGAGTACTGGTCAGCAAATGAACAAGGATATCTTATTTACTTGCTACCTACTGTTTCAAACACAATTCTGGAATAATTTTTGGGATATTATGAATGTTTCCTTGTTCAGCAACCAGGCCCACATCTTGCTCTGAAAGGCTTTTTGGTGAGTTGAGATGAAACTGTTTGGTACTAGCACTTAGCTTGATAAACAATCATTTGCTCCCCATCGGACAGTGCACAGACCAGAGCCAATTTAAATTCTCAGTGAAAGGTGAGTTTCTAAGAGCTGCGGTTATTTTAGTGTGCAGTTTACATCAGACAGTCAGTGTACTTCTGCAGGCAGAGTGCCTGAGACTTACTGAAATACATCATAAAAACAGTACGTTTTAAAACTTCAGTACTGTTTACCTAGTACATATACCAAAAGATAGGACTGAATCTGTTATATAACGTCTGCCCAGCTTTGTAAAGACTTTGAAGAAGTTCATGAAGAATGGATGAGCAAATTAAAATATCCTCAAAGAATGTCATAATTCATTTATTCCGTGTAAAACCCATAAAAAGATTATAAAACTAAAACTAAATCCAAGACAGAGCAGAGGAGCCTCACTTGAGTTGATATTGGGCATGGTATGGATGGAAACCATGAGGAAACTATTTAGAGACCAATTCCTTCTTTCCTCCTTCTCACTCTCCTTCTACATCACCCCCTCATCCCCCCGCCACCCTCCCTGCGGTCAGAGGTATCATTCTGCTCCATCAGGCTGAGAGGAGCTTTAATTGCTGTTTCTGCGTGCAAGGCCTGCTCCTGGAGAGTGGAGCTCATGCCACCAAGTCTTAATGATGCCTGGCAACCGTTGGAGATCTGACCAACACGTTGTCAATGGCAACCGAGGTGCTAGAAGTCTTCGCTCACAAAGATGGAAGAGATGAAACCTTCCTGAGACGCAGAGTCCTCAGAGGGAGAAAGGGAGAATCCGTTTCACAAAGAAGACAAAGAAGTGCTTTTGGCCCACTAATCCAAGCAGTTGGTTAGCAGAGGGCCATTTTGAACCAGCCATGACCGAATGACCCTTT